GTAGCTCCTCGGTGGCTGAACAGCATACCTCCAAGACCAACTAGAGAAATGAGGTCCATTTGGGACAAGGGCTCCAGTGGGGGACCACAACACTCCATCCCACGCAATCCCTTATCATTCGCGTGGATGGCAACCACAGCCAACCGGGGTCTAGGAGGCAGAACCAAGATGCCGAATGCATGATCGTAATTCAACACAATCTTCACAGCCAAACAATAGACGGAACCTACCAAATGACAAGTCTACTATGTAACGAAGATAAACACAAAATCTCACACCGAGGGTCAAAAATCCAATCATGAAGTCTGAGCTGGGGGAATCTTGTCTGGACAGCAGTTTGGACAAGGAAGTGGGTCCAGCTCTGGGGAGAACACTGACGTGTGGACCCGGGTTCCAGGGCATGTAACCCGACAGGTAAAGGGACAAGAGAGAGTGATAGAGGAAGGACTGATGGAAATGGTCACCTTCTAAATCTGCCCCAAAGTTGGGGTGCCTGGGTGGCTCAGTTGGTGAAGCATCTACTTCCAGCTCAGGTCACGATCTCAGGGTCCTGGGATTGAGACCCCGCATCACACTCCCTGCTTAGCAGGGACCGTGTTTCTCCCTCTGCCTCTGTCCACCCTGCTCCTTGCCAATACCCCCTCAATTTGCCATTACCCCCGCTCTCTCTCAAATAAATAAAATCTTTATAAATAAACAAATAAATCTGCCCAAAAGTGGACTAACAGGGCTGTGTGAGCTGTCCTCTGATATTGAGAAAAATAACACACAGAAGAGAAAATCAGCTTGCTCTGTGCACCTAGGGAGGGTCGAATTTGGGATTAGTAAAATTTTGCCCTTTATATATAACTATTAGAGATCCTACAGCATCAATGTTCCAGAAGTTCCTTTCACATTTAAATTCTCTCTGCTTCAATTTCCTCCTCTGTGAAATGGGGCCAATAATAATAATAGTAATAATACCTTCTGCATGATATTTAATTAGTGCATTTAATGCACTAATTAATGCATTTAATTAGTGACTACATGTAAATACTTAGAATCCGTGCCCAGAACATCACTGTTAAAGCAGTGTCTGCTACTAGCATTCCTTTTTTTTTTTTTTTTTTTTAAGATTTTATTTATTTATTTGAGAGAGAGAGAGAACATGAGCAGGGCGAGGGGCAGAGGAAAAGAGAGAAGCAGTCTTCCTGCTGAGTGTGGGCCAAACAAGAGCTTGACCCCGGTGATCAACCCCAGGACCCCGAGATCATGACCTGAGCTGAAGTTAGACACTTTAACTCAGACACCTCTGCTATTAGTATTCTTATTGCTGTTCCCTAATTGGTACCTTCCTGAACCCAGAGGGAGTTCCTCTGGTTGCATGTGGTCCCCCTTTGCATCCCTGGCATTCTATGGTGGCACACAGTAGGTATCCACACATTCTTGTTGACATTTAGAGATGAACCATCCTTCCCAGCGGGTGTTGAATGTTCCAGGAACTGAGGTTGCTCAAAAATAGTGCTCTGGGGGTGCCTGGGCGGCTCAGCGGGTTAAGCCTCTGCCTTCAGCTCAGGTCATGATCTCAGGGTCCTGGGATCGAGCCCTGCATCAGGCTCTCTGCTCAGCGGGGAGCCTGCTTCCCCCTCTCTCTCTGCCTGCCTCTCTGCCTACTCGTGAGCTCTCTCTCTCTCAGTCAAATAAATAAATAATTTTTTTAAAAAACTTAAAAAAAAAATAGTGCTCTGGCAGGGATGTGTGGGCGTGGTCACTGGTGACAATCCCCACAAGCAGTGTGGGTCCAGCAGCGGGACACCCTAAGATTCTGTAATATCCATCTCCTCGTTTCCAAGGGGCACCCCCGACCAGGACAGCTGTCTGGCCAGGCAGGGGCAGGGATCACCTGCCCACACATTTTTCAAATGGGGAACGGAGAGACGCTCCCCATTACAGCCCTCCTCCCTGTGAGAAGGTTTCTAGGACCCTTCCTATCTGGTCATCCTGTCTTCCCTGGGACATGCAGAAGGCCCTGGCCAACCCTGATGCAAATAGTGCTCAATTTCCTGGGCTAAAATTACATCTTGAGTCAATTTTCATAAAATGCATTGACAGATTTAGGTGCTGTTAGCTGGAGCTCTCTCAGAAGGCATTTAAAATGACCCAAACAGTTAAAATCAGCTGAAACCCCGCAGCCAGGGGCTGAGAGAAGAGCTTTCATCCCCCCGCAACCTGTGCAAACCCTGGGGTCTGGACCTTGCCTGCAGAAACTGCTGTGCCCCCACTTGACTCCTCCTGGTCACAGGCTGATTACCTCTCGGCCAAGGTTCTGCTAACAGACGTTTTGCAATGAACTAACAGGTGGGAGCAGGTTCCTGTTTACGAGCAAAAGACTGCTACCCCCCAGGGGTAGTTCCAGAGATGGATTCCGGATTTTGCTTTAAATTTTCCATTCCTGATACTGTCCTCTGTGGGTCATAGAGAGAATCAGGCAAAGAAACAGGGCCCCAATATGTCTGAGTGCATCTTCCCTTCTCCAGAAAGAGCTGGAAGCCTGAGCTCAGCCACCGTCACCCCTGAAGGCTGTGCGTGACATTGGCTGTCCATGGGGCTGGGACCCTCCTGCTCTGACATTCTGACCCCATGGTCCCAGTTGTCCTCAGCCTGACAGCCGCCAGCTCCCTCGGTGGCCTCTTCCTCTCTGTTGCCCCACCTCGATCATCTGCTTACTGTTCCTTCTGGACTGTCCCTCTTTGTCCCTCTGGATCCACTGGCTTGTCCACCCTGCCCTGTGCCCAGGAGGGATACCCTCCGCTGGGGCTCCCAGTGGGGTTTATACCAGGAGGAGGCACCGGCAGGACAGCAGAAGGTGGAAAGAGAGTGAGGTTGCCCGGGCTCATCTTGGGAGGTCCCCCTGGGATTCTAGAAACCTCGGCCTCCATGGACCTCCTCAGGCCTGGAGTAGTAATGGCTTTCTACTGTTGCCAGCCTGGTGATTTGTCACCCCTCATGGCTTCCCTAAACCCTGAGCTCTCCTTCATAAATAGCCCCTTATTACTTCACCCAGCTACCCAGGCGCTGGACTGACCTGCTCCTTTTGGATCCCCCCTCCATGCTGTCTCTTCTGCCACCAGCTGTGCTGCTGGACCCCCAGCTTCCCTGTCTTGCGTTCCATCACATGTGATTTGTGATAGTCCAACAAGCTATCAAAGTGCTTTGGCTAAATATGGCACGCTGGCCAGAACGTTCTCGCCCGTGAACCCCCCTCTTACTCTCACTGATACTTCTCTGCTCCCTGTTTCCTCTGTTAGGATTTATTCACACAGGTGACTCTCCCCTTCCAGGTGGCAAACTCCAGGGCCAGCTCACATTTTTGGTGAAGCTCTGTTCTTCTGACTACCTCCTTCTTTCCCCACTGCACCTGGTATGTTGCCTGGGACACATCAGTGCTTACTGTTGCAAATATCAACCCATTGAGGGAGTGACTGGGAGGCCCCAAACGTTCTGGATGATGCAAGCAATGCGATTTACCGAGCAATGACTACACAGCAGCCACCTTCCATCCATCACCTTGTTTCGCCCTGGCCACAGGAGTACCAGGGCAGTGTTATCCCCATATTACATATGGGGAAACTGAGGTATAGTGAGAGTAGGCAACTTGCTCCAGATTCCACCTCCAGAAAGGGCTAGAGCCAGCAGCGAGGCCTCCTGCCTTTCGTCCACTCTGCCCCAATGGTGCAGGTGGTGATGACGTCTCGGGGACAGTCAGGGACCCTGACCCGAATGGGGACAATTATGACATTACTGAATGTCATTAATGGCCAACAGAGCAGTGTCTTCTGAAGAGGCCCTTCCAGACTTTCCTGAATGAATCACTCTGACATTAACACGCTGCTGCTTTCTATGAAGCTTGGCCAAAAGGCCTCAAAAGTAATTAGTTCACTTAAGTAGGCTAAATGTTTCCTCAGCAATCTGGTTTCCGCTTTAATTGGCTCAGAGTCTTGGAGAAGGCGAAAAAAGTAAACTTTAGCCCGGCCCCTGTGGAAATATTTCCCATACATTTTATGGATAAAATTCACCTCCTTTGGCCACTTGCTCCTGCCACACCTGGGGGTAAGGGGTGGTGATGGGGTAAGGATAGGTGATGCTCTGGCCAAGCCACCGACAAGGAAGATGAGGTTACTAAAGTCTGGGTTACTGAAGCTTTTTTTTTTTTAAACATTCTTTTTTTTTTTTAAGATTTTATTTATTTATTTGACAGAGATTACAAGTAGGCAGAGAGGCAGGCAGAGAGAGGAGGAATCAGGCTCCCTGATGCGGGGCTCGATCCCAGGACCCTGAGATCATGACCCGAGCCGAAGGCAGAGGCTTTAACCCACTGAGCCACCCAGGCGCCCCTGGGTTACTGAAGCTTTACTGGCTATTCTCATTCTGGTCGTGTCATCTGGGAGGGACTCCCTAGGCTCTTGGCAGAGCTTGGAAGCCCCGCTAAGGAGCTGGGACTTGATTCAAAACGGAGAGGAGTCACTGAAGCTTTCCAGGCAAGGCAATCTCCTAACTGAATGCTCACGTTGGTTGGAAACCAAATGAAGGCCAGGGTAGATGAGACGGGGCACCAGCTGCTATATCCAGTCTTAGGCCACCAGAGGAGGTCTTTTTTGTTGGGTCTGGACTCCCTTTGTCTCCCACTCAGACTGGGGCTCCCTGAGGGCAGGGCTGTGTCCCCCCTTCAGACTGGGGTTTGCTGAGGGCACAGCTGTGTAACCCCCTCCTCAGACTGGGGCTCCCTGAGGCAAGAGCATATCTCTCCCTCAGCCTGGCTTACAGAGGGCAGGAAATTTCCCCTCCACCATGCTTCTTCCTACAATAGCAGGGATAAAACTGCATGTTCTTCCCGCCTTACTACCCTTCCCAAGGGCCTAAATGCTGCATTTCAAAACACATCAGGTGGGATGTCTCCAGAGTCAGACAAACAGACAACGAGGGACAGGCGATGTGTCTGGGATGGGGAAAGGACCACCTACCTCCCGCCACTGCTTGTTCTCCATCCCTTGAGTATACATAACACATACTGTGGGGAGAGGAGAAAAAGAGGGTTAAAACCCCAGGCCAAGAGGAAGGTGGGTGCTCTAGATGGGGATATCTCTGGAGGGGAAGGGCACTTCAGGAGACTCTGGCCTGGGCAGCACTGTTGAGTCTGGAGTTGGGGGGGGGGGTCAGCTTGGAGAAGGGGGCCTAGAATATAGAAGGGGACCCTCCTCTCGAAGGACCCTCGTGGAGGGCGTTGAGGGTCATTCACATCTAGGCCAGAACATGATAGAGGGCACGTGGAGGACTGAGTTGCAGAGACGTGGTGGGAGAGAGCATCTGAAACCCGAATCAGTCATCCTTTCAGAGCCCAAGGCAACCTCATGAAGCCTATTACTGTCATCAGCCCCATTCCACAGATGGGCAAACTGAGGCTCTGAGGAGGCCAACGACCCGTCAAAGGTCAGAGAGTTGAATGGCATTGCTCAGGGCTAGATCCCTGGACTCGAAAATCAGTGCTCGTCAACCCCTCAGACCACAGTCAGTTGGGGCTCTGAAATATACTGCGTTTTGGGACTGAGAACTTCTGGCCCCCAGGCACCCTGACCCCCACCAACCCCCCTGGTTGGGCTGAATTTTCACAGGTTCCTGCGGCCTGGGAAGGGTCAGAGCCCCAGTTCTCCTTCTCCAGACAGTATCAGTGAGACAATAAACAGCCTAGATGGGCCCAGAAAGGGGCCTAGTGCCTCATTAAAGCTCAGGAAGGGCTCAAGTGTGTCACTACCATCCGTCACCATGTCATTGCTGTTGTTGTTACTGTTACTAGTGTCAGAGCAGGACTTACGTGGGTCGGACTTGGAAAACATGTCTTTGTCCAAGAGATTCCTAAAAGAGGGGGAGAGAGGAAGAGTTAGCACAGCCAGAGGAGAGAAAGGTCTCAGGGGAGTCAGGCCTGGGGTGAGACCCAGAGACGGCCTCAGGCCTGGCCGCAGGCAAAACAGGAAGAGAAGGTTCCTTGGGCACACATCTCTTGGGTGCTCATTAAAGCAGGCACAGAGGGGGCTGTGGAGGCCCCTCAGCCCTGCTTCCTGAGGAGTGTGGCTGTCCACTCCTACCCCCCAACCCATGCCATGCACTCTGGGTACCCCACAGGTACCCAGGACCTTACTCTTGAGCCACATCTCCATCTGCCCAATGGCTTAACCTGTTCTAGAAATTCTCCCCCCATAAGACATCTCTACTTCTCAAAAAAAAAAAAAAAAAAAGGTAAAACAAGCAAACAAAACTTAGCCACTTAGTGTCCCATAATTCCCTGTGGGCTCTAGGTAGAGCCAGTTTATTGCATCTGTCACCTATGTTGGTAGATGAACCAGTGAAACCTCCCACAGGATGCAGACTTATTGGAACGGGGTCCTTCCGTGGTCAAGGCCAAGGCCGGAAGCTAACACGTGGTCCTGATCATCAGACTTGGAAGCACGGCAGCAGGATGATGGATACGTTGAGGGACTGAGAGGTGTTGAAGAGGGGGCCCGCTGCTCCTGCTCTGCTTCCATGTAATCACAGGCCCTGCTCTTGAACCCCAGGGACGGGTCAAGCACGTAGCTAAGCATTCTGCAAGTACTATCTCCCAATTCTCACACAGTCCTGCAAGGTCAGTACGGGGCAGGCATCATCCCATCTTACAGATGTGGAAGTGGAGGCACAGAGGGATCAGGCAGGGCTAGGTCCTGCACCTCTGGTGTCTTCCATTCCACAGTGACATGCTGCTGTCACGAAGCAACACAGCCCACTGGAAACTCAGTTTCAGGCTGGGAAGTGACTCCACTTCTCTGAACGTCTGTTTCTTCATCGTACCATAGAGCCAGTCCTAAAGATTGTGGACTCCCTATCCTATCTCCTCAGCCCTTCTAGTTCCTGGACACACCCAGGGTTTCCTCCTATGCCGCTTCTCTCCAGAGGGCTCTTTCCAGCAAGCCAGCTGCAAATACCAGGAAGTTTATCCACCCCCGGGGGCAGGAGCTGGGGAATAATAACCAGTTTCTTGTTGCTCTCCCCACCCCCGACCCCGGGCAGCTGCCAGGCATCCTCCATTCGCTTGTTCGGCAATCTTCCAGAAGGACCGAGCTCCAGAGGCCCAGAGGGAGACCTGCTCATCAAAGACCCTTGTTGACTCATGCACCACTCCAGCCCTAAAGGGGACTTCCTATGAGCCCTCCCACCTGTGCGAGTTCCTGACTCCGTCCTACGAGTAAGCTCTGCCCAGAGGTTCCCAAGGGTCTTCTTCCTCCTCCCTCCACTCCACATGAATTTGAACCCCTTTCTCAGAAAGAAGAAACAATTCTCACTAGTCTGTGTGTCTCCCTGACTGCCAAACTCCAACTGTCAGAGCTGGATGGAATGCTCTGGATCATCTGTTTCATCTTCTCCCCAGAGAAGGGGGAGACTAAGGCCCAGGGAATGGCAGGGAACAAACAGAGGTAGAGCCAGAAAGATCTATAAGGAGTCCTTATCCTGGCTCCCGCACCAGAGCCATCAAGAGTGACAGCCTATAGGGCAGTTTGTCCCCACAGTCAATTCCTGCCCCCCATCCTGAGGTGGGAGCCAAAGACCAGCTGATGGACAGACAGATGCAATCGCCACCTGCTGCTGGGGAGACCCCGATTGTGTTTACGAATCACCCCAGCTTCAGTCCCCAAGATTCCCAGCGGTGTCTCTGAGAGGGGGGATCCCGAGATCCCCAACCTCTGTTCCACTTTCTTCTTTCAGGGGTCTCTTCCCAAAAGGCAGCCACCCCCAGCTAGCCCTCCGTGACCCCAAGACACACACCCCCTCTGCTGGTCTCCACCGCTCCTGCACCAGACTTGCTCCCAGCCAGCTGTCACTTTGGAAACCATCTGATAAAACTCCCAGGCCCCTGCAGGGAGCAAGAGATGAAATGACAGGCAAGGTGGCTGAAGGGGTGGGTATGGGGGCACAGGGACAGGTAAGATACCACTTTCACACATGCTCAGTCACACCGAAGAGGGCTGACGCGTCCTCCTCCTGCAGGATGCTAAGTTAGGGGACAGAAGTGCCTGTCTTGATTTCAGTAAAGGACAAAATGCCTTCACCCCAAAGAGGAACCTCTATTCTAGTGAAACCTGAGGCAGGGTGAGGAGCTGGAAGTAATAAAGAAGGGGGGCTGGGAATTTATTAAAGAGAGTGCAGGGGTTTATCTTTGTATTCTATAATGAAATTCTATAATTGCTCAAAAGCTTAGAACACTCAAGCTGGAAGGGACCTCCGAGGTCACTTTTTCCAATTCTTTTATAAATCAGGAATGTGAGACTTGGGACACCTGGGAGGCTCCGTCAGTTAAGCGGCTGCCTTCGGCTCGGGTCATGATCCCAGGGTCCTGCGATCGAGTCCTACATCAGGCTCCCCGCTCAGCTGGGGGCCTGCTTCTCCCTCTGCCTGCCCCTCCCCCTGCTTGTGCTCTCTCTGACAAAAATAAAATAAAATAATTTTTTTTTTAAAGGAATATGAGGGGCGCCTGGGTGGCTCAGTGGGTTAAGCCTCTGCCTTCGGCTTGGGTCATGATCTCAGGGTCCTGGGATCAAGCCCCGCATCAGGCTCTCTGCTTGGCAGGGAGCCTGCCTCCCCCTCTCTCTCTGCCTGCCTCTCTGCCTACTTGTGATTTCTGTCTGTCGAATAAATAAATAAAATTAAAAAAAAAAAAAAGAGGAATATGAGACTCAGAGAGAGTCTCTGACTTCTCCAGGGTCTGGCTCTGGAACTCAGGTTTTGTCACGTTCAGGCTAGTGAGACCCTGGATTTCAAACTCTGTGTGTGTGTACGTGTGAGAGAGAGAGAGACAGAGAAACAGAAGACGATTGACAGAGAGACAGAGGGAAAAGGAGAGAAGGGGTCCTAGCTTCAAAAAGAAGCATGCGGGGATTTCCCTGGCTCTGCCCACCCTCCCAGCCGGGCGAGAGGGACACATCTGGAATGAGAAATAGAACGAGCCACGTAGCTTCAGTGGCTCCCTGCCCCATGGCCTCAGGCCTCTCACTGGGTCCTGCGGCTTGGGTTAGCTCGCCACGGCCTCTGAGGAGGCCGAAGACCCCAGTCCCTCCGCCCTGCTGAGATGATCCTCATCATCCTTCCAGACTCATTCCAATCTATCCTCCTCCATTCTGCCTGCCCTGAACAGGCCCTGATCAACAACCATCTCTCCTCCCCTAGCCTGAGTTCTCTTTGGCCTGTAGTGCACAACCCCCTGACTGGTAGGACCCCACGTCCCTGCTCAGCACACCCTGGGCTGCAAAATGAGGCTGGGTGCTCCTCCATGCTAGGGACCTCTGCTGCGGGCCAGCCCTGCACCTGACTCAGAGCTGGGCGGGGGCGGGGCCAGTGGGCTGGCCGATGGGATGGATGAAGGAAGACCAAAGGAATGGCCACAGGGCAGAGGGAGTCTCTTGTCTCTCCACCTGTGTGGTGTCCGATCGCATTCAGGGATGGCCCCTATACTTTCTGTTAGCTATACAGCCTGATGGCTAAGTGCCTGGGTTTACATCCTGACTCTGGCCAAATGACTCGGGTTCCTTGTGCCTCAGTTTCCCTGTCGGAAAACACAGACTAACACAGTTCCTCTCATCAGGACTGCTCTGGAGCATCTGCGCAAAGTGGGGCTATTCAGAGGACTGGTCATCCCTGGCCTGGTGCTGAGCAGGGCAGTCTCCCTCATGGAGGGTGCTCAGGTTCCCTTGGTGAGAAAGGACACACAGGGATGGGCAACACAAGCCACCTCTGCCCTCACCTGTCCAAAGAAGCTCCCCCCACAAATGCATATGCCCCCAGCACCCCACTGCGAGTCTGTGCTGAATCACCCCACTGGCCAACAGCAACCCTGCTCACCTCAGCCTCAGGCCCCTCCTTGGTCTCCTGTCCTCTCCCCTGATAAGCTTTGAGGCCCTTCTGCCCCTTTGCCTAAGTCCCTGCATCCTACACTCCTCTCTGGTCCCTTACTTCACACTTGCCCCTCTCTGTGCCTCACCCCAGTGCCTGTCCCACCTGAAGCCCCGTGGCCCACTGAGCCTATTCTCGTGGCCTTGAGATGATGAATTCCCCCCTCAGGAGCCTCACTTCCTGGGACTCGCCCCTGTCCCTCCTTGTAAAAAGGCAGATTCTTGGTTGGGCCCCACGCCCAGGGTCCAGTTTTGCAGGTCTGGATGAGGCCCTGGAAGTCAGGTTTCAACTAACTTCTCCACCATACACACCCACCTTCATCCCACACACACCCAAACACATCATGCTTCTGATGGCAGCCGTCTTGAGGACCTCAGTTTCCCCCACTGCAACAATGTACACCCACGCAGCACCAGAAAGTTCTTCCGTGACCCTCACCCCAACACACTGAGGACTCCCGGGCCGAGAGACAGTGGGTGAATTTCCCACAGACACACACCAGTAAGAAGCCGAGGGGAAGGAAACCAGGTCTTCTGGCCCGAAGCAGGGCCCCAACCACAGGGCACAGACACATCAGACCTAAGTGCTTTTTCTCCACTTTCTGTCTTTGGAGAGCTCAAAGAGAAATTTTTTCCAACAGGCAAATGTATTTTTTCCCCAAAAGAGCATAAAACCCTTCAGCTGTCCGCACAGCAGCCTGGAGCTTAGCTTCTTTTGTTCCTTAAATCAAGGCCAGGAAACGGAGCCTAGGGCCCCTTTCCTTCTTGCTTTCCCCCAAGGAATCATTTTTCAATTCAGTGGCAGCAAGAAAACAACCATGCACTGGGGGCTGAGGTCAGAAGTCTCCAGGGCCCCAGCAAAGGGAAAGGTTATAATAAGACTTCTTTGTTGGTGCTAAAGGAGGGAGCCTGAGAGTCCCGCACTCCCATCTGGGAGGC